TGCAGTCTAAAAAAGCTTTCCCAACGGAGTTGAACCATCTTCCCCAGTAGATTCTGTGAAGCTTATCCCCTGCAGAGCGCAAATAAATCTCCCCAGCCAAATTCAGAGGGTTATCCCCACAGGAGTCTAACTGGGTTATCCTCAGCAAGTTGCAATTGAAAGATCACCCCCAGTGAAGTTCTTTCTTTCCCCAAACAGGAGTTCAATCCTCAACCGATTCTGTATCACAACAACGATAATCCATCCCCAGCGGAGTTCATAATTAAAAAAATCCCCAACAGAGCTTATCAACGGAATCCCCAGCGGAGTTTATCGTTAAAATCTTCAGCAGAGCATCTCTTCCCCACAGAGTAATTCCCCTCAGAATAATCTCTTCATCAGATTATCCCCCAACGGAGTTCTTCTCTCCTGCAAATTTATCACCTTCGTCCACCATCCCCAGCGAAAGCGAAGCATTCAACTTTATTCTCCAGCAGCTCCAGGATTTATTTTCCCCAGCTAAAACATTACATGTCCATACATCATGATACATACATATACGCATCATACCATACAATCTCATTTATTCTGAGAACATCATTGCCTGATACATATCATGCATTACATACAGCTAACCTTTACCTTTCAGGAAAGGTACCATCAAAATTCAAGTTATGAAGCCCGAGTACGACCGGATAGTATCTTGATTTCTACAACATATTGTGAAGCCCGGATTATGATCGAATAACAATATCAGACTACCGCAAAGCCTGGATTATGACCAGATAGTGACATCTCTCAAAAGCAAGCTATGAAGCCCGGAGAACGACCGAATAGTAGTTTATTCCCCAGTGAGTCGTGAAGCCCGGATTACGACCGGATAACAGCTCAGCAAGTTATTGTGAAGCCTGGATTACGACCAGAAAGCAATACAAGACCATGAAGTCTGGATTACGACCAGATAATGATAGAAGATGTTGTGAAGACTGGGTTACGACCATATAGTAACCAAGAGTACTACGAAGCCTGGATTTCGACCAGATAGTGGTATGACACATCGTGAAACCTGGATTACGACCAAATAGCGTTAAGGGATACTGTGAAGCTTGGATTACGACCAAATAACAGTTTACCCAGCCAGTTACTATGAAGCCCGGATTCGACCAAATATTAGTAAAACCAACCGTCAAAGGGAAAACCGGATGCGGCCGGATAACCACTTGACTTGTGCTGAAGCCTGGATTACGACCAGATAATGATAGAAGATGTTGTGAAGACTGGGTTACGACCAGATAGCAACCAAGAGTACTACGAAGCCTGGATTTCGACCAGATAGTGGTATGACACATCGTGAAACCTGGATTACGACCAGATAGCGTTAAGGGATACTGTGAAGCTTGGATTACGACCGAATAACAGTTTACCCAGCCAGTTACGATGAAGCCCGGATTCGACCGGATATTAGTAAAACCAACCGTCAAAGGGAAGATCGGAGGCGACCGGATAACCACTTGACTTGTCCTGAAGCCTGGATTACGACCAGATAACGGTAGAAGATGTTGTGAAGACTGGATTACGACCAGATAGCAACCAAGAATACTACGAAGCCTGGATTTCGACTAGATAGTGGTATAACACATTGTGAAGCCTGGATTACGACCAGATAGTGGTACAAGGCACTGTGAATCTTGGATTCCGACCAAATAGCAGTTTACATGGACAGTTACTAAGAAGCCCAGAGTCGGCCGGATATTAGTGTGCCCTAAATTCAAGTTGAAGCCCGGAGGCGACCGGATAACCACTTGATTTGTTCTGAAGCCTGGATTTCGACCAGATAAGAAGCGAGGTATTGCAAAGTCTGGATTATGACCAGATAGCAAGTTTAATCTCATCTCCCCAGTAAGTCACTGAAAAGCCTGGATTACGACCAAATAACAGTCGGTCTTATCACTATGAAGCCTGGGTTACGACCAGATAGTAGTTCACTCTCATCTCTTCAACATTGATGATTCCCCAGTAGAATAACGTGTGACCGACGCTCCTAAAGTTCTATTTCTCCTAAGACAAAGAACATCATTCCCCAGTGGAATCTCCCTCAACAACAGCTATACAAGCTCTCGCTAAGGAATCTCTTACGCGATCGACACTCCTTCGGATGGAATCTTTAAGCCCATCTCCCATCATCAATCTCCAAATGGCATCTGTAAGCCCATTCTCGACATCATAAGACAAATATTACTTCATGCGAGTGCAAATTTCTGGGCACTCTAGTGTTCAATCATCTCCCACCTTCGGATCACGAAAGGCCCAAATGCCAATCTATATCCTCAGGTTTAAGAAGATTGAACAGGGGCAACTGTTGTACCCCAAAATTTTCCCTCCCATATTTCTCAAAGACATGTCAAGAATCATCTCCAAGTTGTTCAAAATGGCTCAAGAGTTGGACAGTCAAGTCATCTCCTAAGGCAGTCAATTCAAAATTAGGGTTTTGTGTTGCATCAAGGTCCTTACATCCAAATGACCTCAAGTACCCCCCAATGTCCTAATATGTTCTTAAGTTCATCCATGTCAAATTTCAAGCCTTGCAGAGGAAGTTTGGTCAGTCAATTGCTCAAGAGGTCCAAAAATCTACTATGCTAGGGCAAAAGTCAACTATGACCCAAATACAGTCAAACCTCAATCTTTTTTGTCAAAATTCTCATTTTTAAGGATAATTCATCATTTAATCAAGGTTTGATCATGATTCATAAGGGATTGCTCAAGATTCATCAAGATTCAAAAGTTGCTAAATTAGGGTTTTGTAGGAAAAGTCAACTCAACTTTGACCAAGCATAACTTTCTCATACTTTATTAGAAATGACCCATCCAAAGCTCATTTTGAAGAGGATACAATTTTCTACAATCCATCTTCACACCCCAAGATCAAGAAATGCTCTCACAAAAAGTTACAAATTTGGACATTATAGGTCATTTTTGAAAGTCAATAAAAACACCTTTTTTCCAAAGCTTATAACTTGAGCATGCAAATATCAAAATGAGATGCGATCAAAAGGGTTGGTTAGAGGACATCTCAAGGTTTCTAAAAAGTCCAAGAATACCTCCAAAAGTTCAAAATTGAAGAAGTTATGCATTGTTGAAGTTGGGCAATTTTCCAAAATGGCCAAAAGTCAACTATCCTCAAAACTCCAATTTTTGACAAAAGGGCCCACGTTTTTCCACTTGATATGGTCTTGTCATGCCACACACGTGTCCCATCTTTAATTTCATGGCCATTCATTTATTTTTCTATTTTATTTAATTTTTATTGATTTAATTCATTTTAAATCAATATTAAATCAAATAAAATCTAAAAATTGATGTAAGGAGATTCTTGTGGTCATTGCAGGTTTCAATTATCATGACTCATCAAATCAAATTCGTATCAAGGCTTTTCATGCATAAAAAATCAGATTTGGCATATATTTGGAAACTTGATAATGGTGATCAAAATCAAATCTCCAATATTCAATTCCTATGGATTCAAGCCCAAGTGATTAACCTAATTCATTCCTTTATGTACACACAAGCCAAGAAAATCAAGAAGATGCTGAAAGCACTGTAGAAACGGCCATACAAAGTTTAGAAAAAGTGTGAAAAAGTATGAGATCAAAATCCACATTAGAGCTCGATTCAAAGCAAAAGCTGGACACTAATTGTTGTACCCCAATTTTTGACCTAAGATCCCATTTTTATTTTTGAATTTTTTAAGATAAGTCAAGGTCACGAAATACGGTCGGTTTTAACGTCTCACCTTCGAGCTTTGACTATGCGAAGATTGTCAAGTGTTTTGAACATTTTTAGCATATGTATCACTAATTTCTAATCGCATACAAAGGTGTATGTTCATGTTTTCTTTTGTGTCATGTGCAGAGACAGGTCTGAATCAAGAGCATCAGATGTCGCGCCTCAATTAAGGTTTTGAGTCCCCCAAGCCAGAAGTACGGTTGATTGTGGATTCTCGAAGACTGATTCATCAAGGCACACTGTTGCACCCTTTATTTCGCCCCTAATTTTTTCAGTCGCACATTCATACCATATTTTGTCATTTGGTCAAAATCATTAGTAAATATCTTCATTCATCATATTTTGCATCATTAGTCGTATTTAAGTTGACCAGAAAAGTCAGTTTAAATCAAAGTTTGCATCGTCCTTCAGTTGTAAAATACCCGACATTTCACTTCATTCATTTTTATCTGTTTACTATTTTTCTTGCACTGCTCCAAGTTGTTTATATGTCGATAATAAAAATATTTTGGTTTTATAGACAAACTGTTAAAAGCGATTCAACAATGTGCGAAAAATTAGCGAGAAAAATATTTCAAGTTTTCACCTTTTATCGATCATTTTATGAATCTGCACTTCGCATAGATTATGACGGTATGCTCGCTTTATTTTTTCGGTATAGTTTGAAGTCTCGTTTTTAACCGTAAATGTCCGTTTAGCCTGATTTTTTTTATTATTATCATTTTATTTCGATTTCGACTTTTGAATATTTTTTCTTTAATCTGTGTGACATGTAGATTATTTTAATGTGTTCATTTTATTTTTTCGGATAAATTTTCGTCCGTTTTTTATCATTTTCGGTCATTTTTGGGTCTTTATTTTTTATTCATAAAATATTCAAAAAAATCATTTTAAATTGAGTTATTTTTTATACTTTCAAGTTTTTATTTTTATTTTTGTCATTAAAGGGCTTTTTAGTCACAAAAAATATTAAATATACTAAGCTTGATTTTCATTGATTGCTGGCAGAATTTACGGATCGATACAAAAAAATTCCCAACAATTCTCCCTTTAATTACCACCCAATCAACAAGCGCAAGAATCATCCATCCTCTTGTCAACAAAAAAAAACCAATTACTTCTTCTCTTTCCACGCATAGCCCATCTCTCTCTCTCATACTCCCTCCACCCTCACCCTCTCCTCGTCCCACTCCTCCCACTCCCAAAATCTCCACAACCGTCTCTTTCTCTCCAGCAAAATGCCGCCTCATCTCTCAACTAAAATCATCCCCCAACAAACAACCCAAACTATCTGTACCCTCTCCACCCAATCCCTCCCTCCACCAACGCTTCCTTCAAAAGCTTCTAGAACCTTCCCCTCCGGACCCACAGCTTCCTTCGTCTTCCCAACCGGTAAAGTTTACTCCTTTAGAGGAACAGGTAGTGGAACTCAAAGCTAAACACCCTGATGTTCTTTTAATGATTGAAGTTGGCTACAAGTATCGGTTTTTCGGCCAAGATGCTGAGACTGCTGCTAGAGTTTTGGGTATATATGCTCACATGAATCATAATTTTTTAACTGCTAGCATACCAACTGTTCGATTACATGTCCATGTGAGGAGGCTTGTGAGTGCAGGGTATAAAGTTGGTGTTGTTAAGCAGACTGAGACTGCTTCTATTAAGGCCCATGGTTTGAACCGGGGTGGTCCGTTTTGCAGAGGCTTGTCGGCGTTGTATACGAAGGCGATGTTGGAGGCGGCTCAGGATTTGGGAGGAGGGGAAGATGAGTGTGGGTCAGTGAGTAACTACTTGCTGTGTGTTGTGGAGAAGAGTATTTTTGGTGAGAGGAAATCTAAGTCTGGTGTGGAGGGTGGGTTTGATGTGAGAATTGGGATTGTTGGTGTGGAGATATCGACGAGAGATGTTGTTTATGGAGAGTTTGATGATAATTTTTTGAGGAGTGAACTTGAGGCTGTTGTTGTTAGCTTGTCTCCTGCTGAGTTGCTTCTTGGGGACCCTCTTTCCAAACAAACTGAGAAGTTATTATTGGCTTTTGCTGGACCCTCCTCAAATGCTCGTGTGGAGCGTGCCTCACGAGATTGCCTCACTGATGGAGGCGCCTTAGCTGAAGTTATGACCTTGTATGAAAACATGTGTGTTGACAGTCCATCAGATTCAATGCAAGGCAATGAATTGACTGAGCATAAAAGTCAGCAGATGGAAGTCAAGGAGGCCATGAACCTTCCAGATTTGGTTGTCGAAGCTTTAGCTTTAACTATTCTCCATTTGAAGGGATTTGGTTTTGAAAGAATTCTGTGCTCAGGTGCTTTAAGGCCCTTAGCAAGCAATACTGAAATGAATCTCTCAGCCAATGCACTACTACAACTGGAGGTTTTACAAAATAACAGCGGCTGGATTTCCACCTCAGAACAACAATGTACTGATAGTTACAACTTCTTCAAATCAAGTGTATGCATTTGATGTAGAGGCCAGACAATTGGAGGAATGGTCAGTGCGGAATACATTTGTTCTTCCCAAGAGATTTCACGAGTTTCCGGGTGAAGTCATTGGACTTTCATTCCCTCCCTCTGCTCGCGTCGAATCTCAGCGTTCATGTTTCGTGCAAACAACAACAACTCCATCTCCAATTCCATTTTGGTGAATTGGTAAGATTCAATTTCCCTATTAACTTTGCATTTAATTTCTTCCATTTGTGTTAAACTGAATATTGAAGATGTTAATTTGAAGTCATCTGTGCTATTTTTTTTAACGATGGAGTTATGCTTGCATTGTTGTGATTGATGCTAAAATTGAATGGAAATATTGATATCAATTTGGTGTTATGATAAGGTGTGTGTTGAATTGGATTTTGTGCTTGTTGTCTAAGTATTTGTTCGAAATTATTGATGTCAATTTTGGTTGTTGAATCTAGGATGACATTGTCTTCTAATTTAAGTTGATTCAAGTATTGAAAATGATATTGAAATTGGATTAAATTGTTGAAGTTGAATTTGAGACTTTTCTTTGATTTTGGAGCACCGACATATTGTCGAGTTGCTGCCCGGATTTATCCTTGTTGAAACTTGCACTCCAAACTTGTTTTCATCACTTTTGGACTTAATGTAATTTTGGCATGAGTTGATTAATTTGGAGTTTTTGGTGTTGATGTTGTTTTGTTGTTTAAGTTATTTTAAAATTTGTTTTGATGATGTTTCAAATTGAATTCAATTCACAAAGTTTGTTGGTTTAATATTAGTGTTTGTACATAAGTTTTGAATCACTTGAAAATTGATTTTCATGAGCTTTTTATGCATAATTTGTTGTTGTCCAACTTTTGATAATGCTGATTTTTTGTGTTTACATTGAACAATATCATGAATTCTTGATTTTGATTTGTGTAAATATTTATTTGTTCATATGCATCATACAAGTTCATTTTGATTTTTTATACTTTGTGATTATTAACATAAATTTTAATTATTTCAATTTCCTTCATTTTATTTTTATACTGCTTATGCTACTAACGCATTTGTTACTGTGAAGGTTTCCAAAAAATTCGTTTCAAGTATTAATTCCCGCATAGCGCATCAATAATTCCTACACTTCTCCTTCTTACCTTTTATTGTATTTTGCTATTCTGATTTAATATTCGGTACTGTAAATATATACTTGTACATAATATTTCGACTGTATATTTTAATTGTAAATAAATTCAGGTTTTGAAAATATTATTTTCATTGCATTGTGATTTTATTTTTAATTCCAATTAACTTCTGAAAATTGTGCGGACGCACATAAGTTTCCCGTGCTGTTAGATTTCGTCGGTATATCTCTTGTGATGCAGGGATTCTTATCTGACACCGTGAGCTTTATCCACCGCCTTTGCGCTTCATCTGATGCTTGGAGTATTATCTCACATTAGGTTTTTTTTGATGATGCTGTCGGCTTGTGATTTATTTTCACCTAAGGTTTGATATACTTTTAGCTTATTTATCCGTCTGTGGTTTTAACTCCAAGGAAAAGATTTAAATTTGTTGACTTCACGTCTTCAAAATACATCTCATCCGATCGTGCGAATACCCTTTTTTTTCATTTTTTGTTTGTTTACTATTTTTTTAAACCTAAGATAATTTTCCCAAAAGATTGAATTTTCAAACTCACACCTTTTAAGTCAAAACTTCGACACGAGTTCGTCGTATCTTCAAAAATCTCATCCATACCCATTTTAATCAAACAAACAATTTTAACCAAAAACGGATATTTCAAAAGGTTCCTGTGGAGTACCGCAGATGCATTGGGTGTTAATACCTTCCCATTGTATAACCAACCCCCGAACTCTCGATCTCTTTTCAAAACGCATTGTATTTTCATTACTTTTAAGTATTATTATACATTGCATATTTTAGGGTTTTATTTCGCTCTTTTCCCTTGGAAATAATAAAGCGCGGTGGCGACTCTTGCTTTTGTGAGTCTAGTTAATTAATAGCTTGATCTCTGATTTTCACCGCTACAGAATTGGCGACTCTGCTGGGGAAAGATTGACCTCTTGTTGGTCCATCTCTAAGTGGGTTAAGCCTAGTTTGTTTTATCTATTTTATCATTATTTGATTGTTTGATTATATGTTTATATTGTGGTTATTTGGGTTTTTACAAAGGACAAGTCCTATACCCGGACTAAGTTACACTTAGGAATAGGACGGGCGGTATAGTCATGTTAACTTTGAGGGAGTAATCCCGTAGAAGGAAGCATGAGATCCCCCACTCAGTGAAAGGCCCTTTTGAATGTAATATTTGTTTACCGAGTAATCGGGAAGACATTATTAATTTCGACCTGGGAGCCAGAGACTCTGGGAACCGTAGAACCCTAACCCATCTTGGCCTTTTAGGTGTAGCGCAGAGATTATAACGGAGTAATCCAGAAGTAATTGTTACGCGATGCTACGCTCGGATGAGTTTCTCTTGAGAATATTGCTGATTATTGAGTAATCAAGATGTTGGTAATATCCGAAGGAGGAATGTAGACTCCGGGAACTCTTAGAACCTTGTTCTACAGGTGTGATTAAACCGTTAGTACATACCTTGGGGGTGTTCCTTACCTTGACTCCATGCTCGTGATGTTGAACCTTTCGACTTTATTTGTGACCTTGCTTGTGGTTGCTGCATAGCCATGCATTCATGCATCCATAAAACCCTTTTCACTTGACTTTGAAGGAATTTGGAGGTTTTTCTTTGTAAACATCACAAGTTTCGTCAAGCTCAATGGATCTTGGGTGTTGATAGGGCGAAAACCCTAATCCACCAAAATGGATGATTGATCTTGATGATAACTTGATCAATGTTGGGAGCCAATTTAAAATGCATCTTATATCTTCATACTTTGATGTTTACAACTTAATATCTTGAGTTCCTTGAAAATCAAATAAAAACTCTCTTTTGCATATCATACATCATTCTACATTTTTTGTTTCACTGTCAAAGGTCTTTTTCCGAGCCTTATTTTTCCTTTGGTCTCACCAGTACAACACTCGCGCTAAGAAAACAATGGAGAATATCAAGCAAGAGGTTTCTGAACTCCGTAGAGAGATGACTATTTTGAAAGCTGGTATGGATCACTCGACTGTTTTGGGTTGAAATTTTGGTTACCGCCCAAGTCAATCCTTCTAGGAGGGACGAGGCGATGATAAAAGTCTTCACTGAAACTCTAAAATCTTTCTCTCATGAGAAGGTGATGGTTAATGCACCTAATGACTTTCCTGACCAGGTGAATATGGGAGTGCGTCTAGAAGAAGATGTTGGGAAGGGATGTTCATATGAAGATGGTAGCTCAGCTAATGGTGTGAAGAAGTTTGATAATAACTTTTCCAAGAAGAGAACCATAGGAAGAAATAATCATTGTCAGAATCATCATGTTTCTCCTATTCATCAACAGAATCAGCAAGTTCCTAATCAGAGGAAAACCCAGTTTGATCCAATTCCAATCACCTATACAGAGTTGTTCCCTATCCTGATGCAGAGGAATTTGGTTCAGACCCGACCTCCACCGAAGGTTCCTAAGAAGATACATTGGTACAACAAAGCTGATTTGACTTGTACTTTTCATCAAGGTGCTCCTGGGCATGACTTGGAGGGTTGCTTTGCTTTGAAGATTGAGGTTCAGAAGTTGGTCAGAAGTGGTATCTTGTCATTCAAGAACGTTGGTTTTGAAGTTCAAATCAAGCATGTGCCGAAGAGTAAACACGATTGATGGTCACTTTGAGTTTTGAAGGATGTTCTCGGTAATTCAAGTCCAGATGGAAAGCCTTCCTATATTATTAACTTATTCATGCTTTTTGTAATTTTTCTTGTTTATCAAAACATTGTTTGCATGTAAGAACTTGTTTGCATCTGAATGATTATCTTAATACAATGGGTATGTTTGTCTTGAAGAAATTCATTCGTTTCACTCATATTTGTTTTCAAATTTTAAATTTATTTTTGCATTATGATACCAACTTGTTGCCCATTCTCTTGCCTAGGCAGAGATTGAAGGGAGGATGATGATCTAAAGAACACAAAATCTCTGGTTGCATGCTTTTGGATAAAATCTTGCTGATGATGTACAGGCATTGTTTAAAATCCCTAAACACTGGAGATATAAGGAAGATAATCCCTTGCTAACCTCTTTTGAGCCTTGAAGTAGGAGTTTCTTTTCTATACAAAAAAACCTTGAATTTTAACCTGGGGCAGGGTAGTTTTTAGTTAATCTGACTGAGTGTTCAAAATTCATAAGGAAGATGTTTTTTGAAGAGAAACTACGAGGGCTATCTTTCATGTATAATGAAGCCAGAAGATGTGGAATCACAATGTTATCCCTCATTTATCAAGAAACGAGGCAATCACAATCTTCTCAACAAGCAAATGCAAGCTAATGTCACACATTTTGTTCAAAAGGTCAAAAATCGAGAAAAAAAGCTTGCTAAGTCAAAAAAACATGAAAATGTGTGACTTAGGCAAAATTAAGGCATCCCGCTGGACTATCAATTCAAAATAATTAGTTCAGGCAAAAGTTAGGGAAAATAAAAATTGCAAATAAAAGGATTGCAAAGAAAAGTCCTCAGCAAAGAGCAAATTGGTGACTACAAACACGAAGACATAAGGGTGGTTTCTACTCCAAAAACCTCGTCGTTTCCTTGACCGTCACAAAATCCTTTTGAGAGATGAACACTCATGTTGAATTAACTAAACATAGGGTTGGAGAACATCATGAAGAATGGGTGGGCACCAAATATTTTGAGCCTTAAAATCTTTTTTCTAAAAACCATGAACCAGACCACGTTACAACCTTCAAAAGTCCTAATTGAAGAAAGGTTATTTTGAAAGCATACTTCCATGAGATAGTGTTCCTGACTCCCATGAATGTTTGTTAAATAGTTATGTTGGTATCATATGTTTTTCTTATACAAAAATAAATGATGCTCTAACTCGCAAAATTTGTGCGATATCTTTCAAAATCTTCAAGACTTACATAACTGTTGCATTAGAATTTTCATTCTCATTGTAAATTTTTCTAACTGCAAAACATTTGTTTGATATCAAGGAAGCTCACATAAGCACCAGTGATGAGTTTATTCTTTTAAGGCTTGAAACTATGTTGAGTAATTGGCGAATCATTTCAAAAAAAAT